CGGCGGCGGCGACGGCTTGGGAAGATCTCCATCCAGCAGTGGATTGACCATGGCTGCTGCTGATGAAGATGCGCGTCTTAACCTTTCGTGACAAATCTAATTTCCTATCGACGTGGTCCTCGCTCAATATCTGCGTCTCTGTGCCCTTGGTCTCTGACACTTGGAGGTGTCTCGTCCCCGGCGTGCTCACGCGATTGTGAAACCCAGCAATTATTACCAACGGTGCAAATAATCGCATGCAGAAATATAAAATTAATAATTCACAACCCCTTCGTCAATCCAACGCCGCGTGAAGGCCTCCTTCACGCTGCGTCGGTCGTGCTGCTTGTTCGAGCATACTTCACCACGCTGGTCTATATGGATCGGTGAAAGATGTGGTGGAGGGGGGGGGGGGTGGTGGGTGGTAACTTGATCAGTGGGTTGAGAGTCAACATCGGCGAACTGATGTTAGCCGTGGCTGGGAATTGAACTCGGCTCGCTGGGTTTTCATAGCGCGGTGCGCGCGAACCACTGCGTCACCCCTCCAAACAACAACAACAACGCCTTGCCGCCTGCTCCAAGCGAGATGCCTCGTGCAGAGTTCCTTGTCGTCTCTTCACGTCAACGAGAGGCGGCGCACCGCGTGGCGGTGAGCGCTGTCCACGCGAGCACCCCCCCACGGCGTTTCACTTACACTTGGCAGAAGGCAACGCGTGTGCACGTGCGTGCGCATATTGTATGGGAGATGTATGAAAAGCGATCATTCGCGGAGGCGGTGGCGTATTTGGTGAGCGCATCCGAGCTTCCAGTATAATTCTCGACAACGGGCTACTCACATCGGTGGCGATCGATATCTAAAGCGGTACTGGCCAACAGCAACCACCTCCTCCCCAATGCAATTTAGTGGTGAAGTATGGTCAAAGAACAACACCCCTCCACGACCGATACGATGTGGCGGGGGGAGAGGAGGGGGGGGCAAGGGTGGGGGAGCGGCTTCACGCAAGGGTTATACAGTATTTATAAAGGACTGTCAGACCCGACTGATCAATGTGGTTTAAAGTGTTATCAAAGAGCCCACAGTGAATTGCCTATCGGGCTGTAAATAGACCGGCAGCTATCGGGTGTCGAACTGCAAACACGGCTCCAACTTGCTTGGTGGATGAGCACTGTGGTGTGCGCATACACAGTACGTGATTTACTAAATATTAAATTAGATGTGCCGCACCAACTACGAAACGTGCTGAGCCTTCTCCGCCAGGCGATCACCGTGGCCGACAGAGAGGTCCGTGTGTAAGTGTCCGCGTGTTTCGTCAAGGCGGAGTCGACCTAGAGGAGGCCCAGGACCGGTTCACATATTCGCCGCTGATGTAAGCCGTGGTTTGGTGTCGAACTGAGGTGTCCGAGGCAGTGTGGAGACAAAGATAGCCGTGCGTGGTGCTAGTCACACACCACACCGTCGTGTTCATTGCTGGCATTAATAGGCGCTCGTTAGTAGAATTTGCCCTAACAATTTATACGGCGCGAGTAGGATCTTTGTTCCGTCTTTAATCTGAGGAGCGGTGGCGCAATGGTTTGCGTACTGCGCTACGGACCCGGCTGCGTGCATGGTGCGTGATATCGGAAGAGGTTCTGAACCACCCCTAGGTTGACTCAGCCTAAAACGATTACTGTGCCCGGTACGGTCTACACTGCAACCATCAGCACCGAGAGACAAAGGCGACTCCGTCGTGTGCCGTAATCGCCTTGGTAGGTGCTCGCGAACAGCACAACACCCTGCCCCAACGCTTTATATATAGGATACGCGTGGCATACATACATACATGCATACACAGAGAGGAGCGGTCACGCAGTGGTAAGCGCACTGCGCTATGAACCTGGTTGCTTTCAATTCGCCACGGCGGCTAACATCAGTGGCCCTTGGCTCTCACCCGCCCCCCATCCGTTTCACCCAACCCGCACTCACCACTGTGGTGAAATAAGATGAAGCAACTACCGCTAGCGACAAGCGTGGGGAGAGGCCTTCATCCAGCAGTGGATTGGGAAAAGGGGGTTTAGGACATTAGTCTACCTGTTATTCATCTGTATTATGCCATTGAGAGAGTAGAGAGCACGTTGTCACCAATTAATGGGTTGCGTTAATTAGGCATTTCAACATGACTAAGAAAAACAATCATTCTCCGCAGACATGAATATCACCTCATTGTACATGCTGACATGTTTAAATATCACCGCCAAATGTAACATAATTCATAAGACTCACTGGGTCTTATGACTTGGTTTTTTTTCAGGAGGGTCCTGCTCCTACATTGGGATGGTTTGGTCAATTACATGGATGAGCGTCTGTGTTGGCTGCGTGAGAGGAAATCCGAGTAACACGGAGAAAACCCCACGCATACCAGGGGGATAACACGAACCAATGACTACACACAGGTAGATTCACCGACCCACTGCCGTGGTGCCGTCACAAATCTCTACCACCAACCCTCGCCGAACAAAGGGACGCATCGCAGAAACTCCGGCTGCAATTAAACCCCTGGATAACCTCTAATAACCAAAGTACCGCATAGGGCTGTAAAAAAAAAACATGCCTTCGGAATGCACGGGGGAAGGCAACGGCCATAAGGTGGTAAGGTTCTGTAAGCAGTCAATTGTTATCAGCGATCACGAGATAGCGACAGGGTCCATCAGGTAGAGAGGCGCGGGAAGGCAGAGCGAGGGCGTGATATGGAGGTGAACAGTCGTGGGGAAGTGGCCGATTTGGGGGATGGTGGTGGTGGTAGGTAGCCGGGTCGTACCATAAATAACACAATATAAGCAGTTCAGGGGGTGGCGTGGTGGCGCAGTGGTTAGCGCAGTGCGCTATCAAACCCGCTGATCCCGGTTCAATTCCCCTGGCACGGGTAACATCAGTCATTGGTGAGTGGTATCTGAACCGGGTCATGGACCCACCACATCCTTGACCAACACTAGCGTGGTTCAATAACTCCCAAGACACGTAACGTCGTGGGAAGGGGTGTCCTTCATCTAGCAGTGGATAGAGAAAGGGGCTGTACAAGTACAAACCAATAGATACGTACACACAATGAGAAGGGTTTCTGTCTGGTGGGGATGAATGTGTGAAAATAAAAAAAATCACGTTTGCCCCACGCCTTAAAGGCCAAAGTGAATGCAATTTAACGCGCGTATCTGTGCGTATAAGGTCTGGCCGATGTGTATGTTGGCTTTCCGTTCACGATGTGTTTATTATTCGCGGCGTTATAGTGAGCGCCTATCCGCGCGCCCACGACGTTCCTATCATTGCGTGAATACAAAACCTGAAAGCGGTCACCCATGTGGAGGGGTGTCATCGGCTCTGGGGGGGGTTTGGGGGGCAACGGACGGATGGAGCGATGGGGCGACGTTGCGCATGCACGGGAAGGGTTTGTTAGGCGATGGTGGTGTGGTGCGTATCTGTGTGAAGGTAATGAGTATGCGAATTAGCGACTTTGGGATGGGAAGGCGAAGGGGTGGCGAAACGCGTTAACAAAAGCCGCAGCCTCTCGCACAAAAAAAATGAATCCACGAACCTTCATCCTTCTTACGCGTCCCCCGGGCGCAGCACATGATATGACACACGAAGGTTACCAAACGCTGGTGTGTGAACATAGGCTGTACTACACATGGCTCTGTCGCTCGCCACCCACACTCACTTACCCACACAACGTAACCTCCCCCCAACACCTCTCTGATCTCCCTGCAGTGGCACGGACCACTGTCATATCTTGTGGCACCGGATCGTCGTGATTTCGATAGGCGGCTCTCAGCGGTGCACACACACACAAAGATCCCCCATTTAGCCTGTAACAGACTGTAGGGGCAAGTGCTGTTAGCGAGCACCTATGAAGGCCGGGACGGGACAGGAGGGGGTGGGTGGCCAACACCACGCCCGGCCGCCTTTGTCTCCCTAGTGACGATGTTTACACATCGCACCAGGTACTCATTTGAGGCTGAGTCGACCTAGGGGAGGCCCGGGAACGGTTCAGATAATCGTCACTGGTGTTGGCCGTGAGCGGGAATCGAACTCGGGTCGTTGGGTTCATAGCGCAGCGCGCTAACCGCTACACTACCGCTCCCCAACACGCACGCAAACACACACGCACACACGCGCACACACACGCACACACATACGCGCACACACACACACGACACACACACACGCGCGCGTCGACAGACACACACACAGATCCCCCCGTACAGCCTTCACAGACTGTTAGGGGCAAGTGCTGAGAACCACATTAAAGCAAGTGCAGGGCACGAGGGGACGGGGGTTTGGTGTGGTTAGCACCACGCCCGTCCGCCTTTGTCTCCCCCGTGCAGAAGTTTACGCTCCGCAACAAGGCATGCACCTTCACCACAGACTGTCCCGTCTCGTATACCACCAGATCCACATTGTTCACCATGAATCAGTCGATCAGAGCGCTCACTACCCGCGCAACTCAGCCCAGCATCTTATGCGTGCTACATACACACACACGTGTAGGTATACCTACTTACATGCCCTGCCTGCGATCACTGCCTGAATACGACGCATACCTGGGCGCATGGCCCAATTAAACCGAGGGCGTCACTGCTAAGACGCGAGTGCACGTGTCTCTATTGCGAGGTGGGGGGGGGGCACGATAAACTAGCCCCCCACACTACTAGCACCGCGGTTGCGAAGGTTTTTCGCAACATTCAACGCCACGCGGTGTGCTCCCTGCCACATCCCGTTCGGTTCCTGCGCTCGGGGCAGTTGATTGCGTGGAGGGGATGGGTCAAACGCACGATTGGCAAACGTTGGGTTAAATCCGACAACATTATCGTGGGCAACATAACCACCCCCGATGGAATGAATGAATACATTTAACAAAAAATCATTTACGCGTGGAGTTTAATAAAAGGTAACCAAACACCAAGCTTGTCCTCCCAAGCCCTCGGCTCCCCAAACATTTCCCTTCCCCGAAAATTTGCACGCGTGGAAAATCTCAGCGCCTGCCACTTACTTTATTGCGTTCCGTTCGCGGTCCTTTCTCCGCTTCTCGCTTGTCCGCGTATTTCACTCGGGGCGCATTCTCCCTCTCCTCCTCTGTCTCGTGGCGGATTGTGGAGGCAGTCGTTCGGCGTTATTGTGAAGGATTCAAACGGAACGAGAAGCCGTCGAGAGAGAGGGCAGGGGGGGCCGGGCGAGAGAGTGTCGAGCGAGGGGAGGTGTGGCGGAGGTGACTGGGCGAGCGAGAAGGCGCAAGCCGAGGGTCCTCTTCCGACTCCTCGGCGGGTTAGAGGTGTCCTCGAGAGAAAACGCTTGCGGGCAGCACGGCCACACAAATCTGTGCCGCTCCTCCTCCTCCTCCTACCCCTCCTCCTCCAACACCACCCAACACCAACCCAGCAAAAACGCGCCCGCTGGCAAATAATTAACTCCCGCACATGAAGTCTGACGTTTCGCGGCTTCCCCTCTCCGGACGAAAGCTCCGTCGTTTGGTCAAAGAGCCCACGCGCGGTGCTTCCTTTTCTTCTTCGACGTCCACCTCCTCCTCCTCCGCCGCTTGTAGCCAAGACTCGACCGGTGTCGCTCCCGGGTCCCCCGAGATATGGGGCATCGACTCGGCGTGTAGATTACGTTGGCTTCTATCCCTCCACCCCCAGACCCCCGTCTCCTCTCTCTCTCCTGTTGTCTCTTTATCTCAAATCTTCGTGGGGGGGGGGGGGGTCACACAACGTAGCGGCGGCCGCCACCTACGAGGAAGCCCTCACTTGGCTCGATGGTCCGCCGCGGTGTGCACGTTGCGATGAAATGTGCAGTCTCTCTGGCAGACGGGGGGAGGAGGACGCACGGGGAGAGAGAGAGAGAGCGAGAGAGCGAGCGAGAGAGCGTGAAGGTGTTGGAGTGGGGTGTGGGGATAAAGGACCGAGGATGGGGTGGTGGTGGTGCTGGTGGTGGGGATGGGGTGGTGGTGATGGGGAGGAGGAGGAGCACGCAGATACTACTGACGGGGTAATTAATTAGTCCACCAATTACGCCGGCTTTGCGACATGTACCTGCCTAGACCAAACCTACAAAAATACAATTATTTCAAAGAAATACAATAATACCACCACTCCCAACTATGCATCGTCGTAAGACATCTTCTACACGTCACCCCCTCCTCCTCCTCCAAAACACAAAAAAGCAATCCCCTTGCCAGTCCGCGTTCGTCCTCCAGCCTCGTGCCCCTTCTCGCCGACTTGCAATCACTGCCGTACCTACGCCCTGCGCCACTGCAAGCGACTGGGAGAGGCGAGGAAGGGTCGCTTTAAGAGCGCTCCCTCATTCCCCACTCCCTCTCTCCCTCTCTCTTTCCCCTCCCTTGCCTCTCTCTATATGTGTGTGTGCTGTCCTCCCTTGCGTCTCTCTATATGTGTGTGTGTGCTGTCCTCCCTTGCGTCTCTCTATATGTGTGTGTGCTCTCCTCCCTTGCGTCTCTCTATATGTGTGTGTGCTCTCCCTTGCCTCTCTCTGTGTGTGTGTGCTCTCCCTTGCCTCTCTCTATATGTGTGTGTGCTCTCCCTTGCCTCTCTCTATATGTGTGTGCGCTCTCCTCTCTCTCCCTTGCCCCCCCCCCCCCTGCGTGTGTGCGCTCTCCTCTCTCTCTCTCCCCTCTATAGCAGAACAACACCCCCCAAACACCCTCCTCCTCCTCCTCTGCTCACCCCCCACCCCCGCCGCCTCCATCACCTCGGCTCCGTGCGCACTATTCCTCCTCCCTCTCCCCTTCATCGCTGCTGCTGCTGCTGCTGCCGCCGCTGCTGTCGCCTCATCTAGCACGGCTGGGGCAGCAGCTATGATGGCCGCAAAGCCGCGGCTCCTGCCCGTGCCGTTCCCATTCGTGTTCACATCATCGGCAGCTGCTCCATCATCATCATCGTCGTCATCGCACGCGCTCATCATCATCATCCTCCTCCTCCCCGCGTTGTCATCTGCGTCCGTGGCGCACTCCGGCTGTAGGACACACACGGTGACCGTGTCCACGCTGCCGGTCCTGCGTGAGAGCGAAGTGGCCTTCCACGGCCTCTCCTCGAGCTCGTCCTCGTCTGCCGCCGAGTCCAAGCTGCTGTTGTCCATCAGGCACGACCTCCCCGGAGAACTGGCCATCGCGGACGACCTGGAGAACACCGAACTGCCATACTTCGTGCTCGGTACGTGAGTTGTTGTCTTCTTCGTCCGTAGTCTGTATGTGTGTGTGTGAGAGTGAGAGACGCATGTTTGGCAGGTAGCTTCCACCAGTTGCCCCCCCCCAACCCACCACCACCACCTCCTCCTCCTTGTCTCATCACCACTCACGGTCGCTCAACCTCGCCACTTGTACCGCGACGGTGGCCCAGGAGATGGCGCTCCGGGCATGGGTCGTTGCAATCCATCTGTGCGGCGCGGGCGACGCGATCTTGGCAGGCGCCGCGCGCCTCCGCTCTGCCCAACGTCAACGTCGATTCATCCTGTGGCTGCGAGAGGGCCAGGAGGTGGTGCTGCCCACAGTGGATTCTTGAATGCATCTGTGCGGAGTTTTGAGCCTAACACACCCCCCCCCCGCTGCCGACGCCGCCGACCCTCCAGTTTCCTTCGACGTGATAATTAATCGGCCAAACATCTCGATTTGTATAACAAGGACCCCCCCTCCCCTCCCTTGAGACTCAAGCTTTCCCGTGTAAGGAAACATCATTGTAATTTGTGACATTGCCATGATGAATGCCATTGCTTTATATTGCACTGTCTGCAATTACGTTAACGACACGAATTTCACTCGTGCCACTGCACTTACCAACAGGGAATTATTCATGCGGACGAACGTCGCACTGTATTTTACACGGGACTCATTATACCTGTGTCCCCCATTGTTTCAAGATCGGAGCCCACTGAACACGCCTGATCTATTGCTCTGTAATCAAAGTCGAGAGATATATCCTGGTGTATAATTACAATATTGCGTACATCCGACAGCGATATCCCCCCCATTGAGCACGTGCACACGCAGATGAATAACAGCGCATTTTGAATACACAACGTTGGTAATATGAACCCCAAAGCGTTTACTATGGCAATCCTAACAGTCCATTATATTACATACTGTCTACGTGCATTGCAGACGTTAGCAGCAGCCTTAGAAGCCGAACATATTGGGGCCTTGTAGGCCCACACCACGACAGTACTACTGGTGGATGCACGCACAGCATCAACAATAGACAACCTGAACGTCGTCAGCATCATCATCATCCCCATTGTTCTGCTGTGCAACAAGGACGCCTCTGTTATTTTGACGATGTGCTCCTTAAATAAACATGGTGCGTTCTCTGAGTGCCAACGTGCGGTTTCATTGAATCGCTTACGCATAAGCCGATATTTCGTATATATGTATATATACCTATGTGTGTATACTGTACAGTACTGCACACGTGCATTAAACCTGTTGGGGTTTTTTCTTCCAATTACAGTAGGCTGTTTAATTATTATTATTTGGAGTATTATGTTTTTTTTAAGTTTGTTCGCCCGCTGCTAATAATCTGGGCAAGCAATGAACAATCCTCAGTGCCAATGTGCTGATAATTGCATTTCTGCTGACGTGTTTTAAGTATTTGTGTGTAATTATACGTGTAGGGTTGTGTGCCTTGTTACAGGACTGCATGTATATTCTTGGTTCTTTCGGTAAAGTCACCTAGAAGGGAAACAATAAAATAAAGAACCAAGAATATGAATCCCTGCAGTCACGAAAGCTTTAAATCAGGACTGCATGTGTTTGTGTGAACACATATCTTGTACGCTATACGCAATGCAATATAATTGGTGTGGCCACGTGTACCGTACTGCACATTCAATATAATGATATTTCTGTACAGTAAGCCTCATAATGGCCCTTGCATTGGATTATTCGACCAACTCATTGGATAAGTAACTCAATAATAAAGTAATATCTCCTTTAGGTGTGCATAACCATGTCTTATGCACAGCGTGTCGTCGGCCGTTTGGCTTTGCAGCATTGACACGATCCAATCAAACTCTGGACCGATTTTGACATTCATTGTTCTCATCAGCAGAGTCAAGCGCGCCTGAATGATGCGTGTTTACACGTAATGATAATGCCCTATACAGTATACAGTACATATGCAGTGTATGTTTTTTTATACAGGGAATCCTCTACTTACGAACGAGTTAGTTTCCAGAGGCCTGTTCGTAAGTCGATTTGTTCGTAAGTCCAACTTGACGCCTGTTGATTCCAAAGATGTACGGCACGTGCACTAAATACTAAAACTTTTATAATCTCCTGTAGATGCCACTGGTTCGTCTTAATACCACTCTCAACACTTCCACCACTATTACGCGTCTGAGACACGTAAGTCGGATGTTCGTAAGTAGAGGAATGGCAATGGGCAAACATCCCAATGGAGGACCCTCATGAAAACGAGTCTTGAGACTCAGCATAGCTTGGGTGGAAGGCTGCAGAGATTGCCAATATATTATAGTGCAGCAGTGGATTCTTGACTCCATCTGTGCATGTTACTTCCTAATACGCACGAGTCTTTTCCAAGTACGACGTTGTCTGGTTTCCTCCTGCAAGCCAAACGTTCATCAGTGGAATTCGACGATTCTCGTAAAGGAATATTGAGACTCGGTGATGCTCTCCTGGGTGTATATTCAGCATTATTATTTCTACGTTTATGCTTGCGTATGCGTTTCCATGGGTAAGCAGATTTTCGATGAGCAAATGAAGCAGCATCATATTGTAGCCCCCCCCCCCCCACTTGGTGGTCCGATGGATGTCAACCTATGTCGTATACAACACAGAGCCAGCCTCCTTCCTGACAACACACCCTAAGAGGTGACACTAATGGGAAAATGCCCTCCCCTCTTGTAAACACTGGGCCGTGAGAATCTGGAGCGATGCTAATGGCATGCGTTTAAAAAAAAAAATCTTAAGGTCATACGCATCAAGCTCATCGTCGTCCGCGTCATTGCTGCGGCTCGCACTGTGTAATGTGTCTGCCGAATTAAGTACCTCTGATGTCACCGCACTACCGAGTCGTGCCGGGGCCGTGCCGGGGCCGTGCCGTGCTCAACCAGCCCGGGTTCGGTGCGGCTCGGGAGGCGGAGCCAGGTGTGGTTTTTTTTTTTCACCGCAGAAGCCGAGCCGAGCCGAGCCGTGCCGATGACATCACACCCAACGGGGCGAGTCGAGACGCGCGTAGATGACGTGGGAGCGACGAACTCTCAGTGTTGCTGACTTGACGGTCTCATAGCAGCGTTGAAATCGGTTGACCCCGGACACTTGGCCCTGCTAGGTCCCCGAGGTAGATGCAGATGTCGGGCTTGCATATCACGGTTTGGTTCTGGCTCGGCTTGGCAAATACCCGGTGGAAAAACGACTCAGATGTGCGAGTGGAGAAAGGATTGAAATGCTATTTGTGGTGGTGATGATAAAACTGAGGGCAGATATTCGAGGTTGGGTGTCAACTTTGCTGCAATTAACAGAAGGAAGAGACACTGAGGCACAATAAAGACTGCCACAGCAGATCTATCAGCCCCCTACCCTGCAGACTGGGGGAGGGGGTGGTGATGAAACTTTGGCCACCAACTCGGGGTGTGTGGCTCAGCGGTAGAGCACACAGCTCGCAATCAGAAAGTTGCGAGTTCACATCCCGGCAGGGGGATTGACTCGGCACCGTCATTCTGATGGGGTCGATAAATTTAGTACCGCTTTCTGGAGCAGTCAACAGTGGTTGTCCTATTCTTAGTTCTTTCGGTAAAGTCACGTTGAAGGGAAACAACAAAATAATAATATATATAAAACAATAAAAAAATCTCACGACGTTTCGACCATAACTCAAACGGTCGTCTTCAGGTGTGTTGGTTTGCATAAATTTATTTGTAAACGGCACATTTATTTATTTATAAAAAAACGTTAGCGCCACGCGCAACGATTTGGCAGTTTATTTAGGACTAGTCCATCTATATTCTGAAAAGAGGAGGGGGGAGACGAATTTTTTCATAATGTATGCTGTCTGAAAGCCACTGTATGCGTGAACAATCAATTAAGACCTGAAATGGTTTATCAAATCTTTCCAATGATTGCTAAGATAGAATCCATCTTCTCGGTTGAAATTGTCTCTGTGCTTGTATATGTGGATAGCCTCTCCCCCAACGTAGGAATGTGGAATTTCCACAACTGGCCCAGGGCTAGAAACGACAGATGAGTACCGTGTCATTGCTAATTTCAGCAGGAAATAACTGACTTTTGTGACTTAAGAGTGTAATTATCGATTCATCAATTAATTTCGTTTCTTAAGCGCACATGTATAAGATTCACATTTTTTATTTCTTGTATGTTGTATGTAATGGATTATTTTGACTATTGAAGCCACTCGTGGGCACTGCATGTCAAACATGTGAAAAATATTATCAATACTGCCACGTCTAATTCTGTCAATCGTGATGTATTTGTTAGTTTTTTTCCAGCCATACATTTTGAAATGAATTACCCTGACAGAATTGTTGCATAATCGTGGCTGATGATGATTACTGTAGTTTACAGGTTAAGTTAAAAACAGCGTCACTCCATTCGCAGACATTGTAATTGAGTTGGAAAGACACTGGAGAGCTTTTTACATCAGTAACGTGGATTCATTTCCACGATTCTAGCAATAATTGTTGTGTTCATAAACTATCAGTGCATATCAGTGAATGAGTACTACAAATTACTAAAACTATTAAATAAGTTAAGGCCCCACTGAGCTATATTTCTCTTTTCAGAAGCAACCTGGCCACAAACGATAGCTTAACGAAGTGGCTTATCATGTGGAAATTTATAGCAGCCAAATACGCTAAACGCATGATTCTAAATGTGGAGGGGAAAAGCGGAGGACCTAGAAAAAAATCCACGCGACCACGGGGAAAACACACAAACTCCAAATATACAGCAGCAGGCGTCAGGGTCGGGATCGAACCCACGACCTCCTGTATACCAGGCGAGGTAGTTAACAGCACTTGTCCAAATAGCCTGCTAAGGCTTAGGGCGATCTTCTTTGGTTCTTTCGGTAAAGTCACGTAGAATGAGAATAAAATAATAAATTGATAAAATAAAATAACACAATAAAATTCTCACGACGTTTCGGCCACAACACAAGCGGCCTTCATCAGGTGAAGGGACGAG